AGAATGAACTCACAGTGCATACTAGTTGGCCAATTGGTCTCAAACATTTAAGTACTGAAATCTCAATCAATCTTTTCTGCGATTTTTCCCTTAAACCTACTCCTAAAAAATGAGTGGGTCGTTTTCGGAAATTACCTGGGGACATCTGAGTGGATATCCACTCAGATAAGAAAATTCCTCCCGCTGATTGCAGCAATCATTGATTTCGGATACAAAAGCAATCATCGCTGGCAGCAAATTGCTGCTGTGTACATGAGTAAGAAGAATAGGTAATTAAAAAGTCTGGACCAGACTAATTGGAAATCGGGTTCTTAGGACGCACGCACATAATTAGTATAGACCAGTGTTTTTGCGAGCTGATACATTTAAGAAGAAAAGTCAATTATGGGTTAAAACAGGACCACTTGCGTAATTAGTCTGGTCCAGACTAATCAGGCGTCCAGACTAATATTAACACACTGCGTACTGTACCGGTAAATACCACGTACACTATCGGTCATTTGCAACCAAGGTTGTATTTCTGAAAATCCTGGTCCCTGATTGGCTGCATGCAGCGTGCCGACCACAATTATGCCGTACACAGTGCCTAAAAGGAGGGGTGGCGTTTGCAACTTGAATTGCTCACACGGTGGCAGGTTGTGGTCGGCTTTGCAACCCTTTCCAATACAAAAAACAAGTTAGGGTTGCAAACATATTTAGTGGAGATCCCACTACACAAACGTCAAGTGAAGTTGCAAGGCTGAAAAGTTGCAAAAAGAAATAAACAACCACAAGCCCCAGCATCATGACGAGCGAGTACAAGCGAGAGCTCACGAGGTTCATGTCGTTTAAAGACGGCGTCACGTACAGCAACGATCGTGTCTTCACGACGGCTGAGCTTCTTCAAGTAACACTCAACCATTTGTGCCGCTGGATGCACAAGCAAGCGTACGGCGACCCCGAACCAGCCGAAGACACGAAGCCTGTCCACCGGCGCTCAAGTACTCTAGAATTCACCAAGAAAACACTTTCTTCATTTATGCCGCGGGTACATACGTCCTGGGATCCTGTGACCGAGCGAGGGAACCCCACTCGCTCTGACGCTGTGAACAAACTGATAAAGAAGGTGAAAAGTTTGAAGTTCGCCGAGAGGGGGCGGATTCTCAAGGTCGCCGCGCTGTGGAATTTAATGAGTTCCTTAACCTGCTACAACTCATGTGAGCACAATGGAAATCCGATGTATCAGCCTATATGGTGAGCAGCGTGCTGACACTCCAGTGGCATATTTGCGCTAGGATTGACGACATGATGAAACTGCAGTTTAGCAACTTCTCGCCAAACACGCAGTTCCCTTCTACTTTGCTCCTGCAGATGCGGTGGTCAAAAAGTATTAACGAGGAGCGAGATGCACCGGAGCAGATCGTTATTGGTAGTATGGATCCAAAAATGTGTGCATTACTCAGCCTGGCTGTATAGATTGAGTCCACGGCAAATGTTTCGAGTTCGGAGTTTCTGTATACCAATCCGAATGATGGCGACCGCGTTGTGCAACGCTACTTGGCGAATATGGTGAAACATGATGGATTCAAGAAGCTGAAGGTAGGTAATATTGGAACGCATAGTCTTCGTAAAGGTGCAGCCGCATACGCGACCCGAAGCGGCATTTTTCAGAGGACTTTGTAAATCGTCGAGGGCGCTGGCGCACTAGAAAAGGTGTTGTCGACATCTACATCGACAACACTCAGCCGCACCCCGATGCTAAAACCGCTGCAGTACTAACTGGCCCCGCAGAGCCATGTTTTTATACACTTCGACCCGGTATTGGCGGTGTAACAACCGAATTTCTTGTTGATCAGGTCGCACCGACCGTGAAGCAGGTGATGGGTGAGTCTATTGCGGCTACGCTGGCATTACCGTTGCTGTGGGCGGCTTTTGAGTCATCGGAGGCGTACGAACACGCTTTACTTCCAAGTAAGATCCAGCAAAAAAATTTACGCGCATTCGCAAATGTGGGTGGAAATCACGCTCTCAACCCGGTAATCCGAGAGGAATTTTGCGTCACTGGCGACGGATCCCAGCTGAACCTCGTTGCAATTGACAGTTGTGGAAATCCCGACCAACCTAATAATTTAACTGCAAGCACCTCACAGAACGTGTATCCTGGTAGCGCTTTAGGCGGTGAAGGTAGTCCCGCGAGTTTGCAGCACTTAACTCGCAGACTGGAGCTGGGTGTCGTCATACAACCGAAGTGCTGAACGAAGTCCTGCGTTTACGGCGGGAGAGCCAACGAGAGCTGCAGAAGATTCAGGCCATACTTAAGCGAATTGCCATGCAGCCAGCGTTCCGCCGTAACGTTATTACGCAGGA